GTTTATGCCGGCAGAAAGGCCCCGTCTGAACTGTCAGAATTCTAAAGGTGCCCATGGGCTCAAAAAGGCTGGGGACCCCTGGTGTAATTGTAAGAGAAGAGTAACCTAAGTGGGAAGGGACTTGCATAGTGTCTTTTCCACCCTGCCGATTTTGCTGACCACAGGGGAGGAGCCGTGGTCTTCCATAAGTGTCCTCCCTCTTTCCAAGTTATAATGCTTAACTGAATACAGAACTCACCGGCACGGAACGGTTATTTCTTTAGGTCAGTTGGCTTCAGAAGTATCTGCCCTAACTTTGGATTGCCGTTGACATCAATGGAATCCTCCCCGAGTGAATGTTCTTCGGATCACACTCTAAAACTACCATGTAAACATGCTCAAGATGTCTATAGATAATGGATTATATTCTTTGAAACTGTACTAGGAAACCATCAGGTGAATAGGTTTTGGTGCATTTGGCAGTTAAAGACTGGGGTAGGGTTGCCAAGTCGAAATACTTCCTTACCGGGGGACTCCCGCGCTGCAGCTGGAGCGCGCATGCACGTCACCCGGAAGTGACGTGACGACACCGGGCACGCTGGGGGCGGGGCCACGACCATCTGAGGGAAAACCATAGAGTTTTCCCTCGGATGACCGTGGCCCCGCCCCCAGCGTGCCCGGTGTCGTCACGTCACTTCCGGGTGACGCGCACGGGGTGGGGTTCCCCCGGGGCCCGATCCGCCGGCGGTGGGGAACGGCCTCTGGGGCGGGGTCTTGGGAAGCCTAGACTGGGGGCTGCTGGGGCTGGGGAGGGAATGTTACACGAGATTCCCTTAACCCCACCCCATTATTTCAGTCATCTAAGCATTCCTGGAACACTAGGGCACCCAGTCACAGACCAATGGCAACAATGCCTCCCCAGTAACCTAATGAGTAATGAAGGAGCCCCCATGGGGCGGTCAATCCATGATCTAATTCTACAGTTTGATTGCTATTGTGTTAGGAAGCAATAAAGGGAGCTCCCTGTCTTTTTATTAGTGTCGCATACAGAAAAAATGCTAGCCAGAGAAAATCTGAAATGGAAAACAGCAGTGTGATAATCAGCTCTTCTTTGTGCGTTTTGTGACTTTTCGGACTGCAGGGAGCTCCGCTGTAAAAGAGGAGACCAGCGTGTTGCAGATAAATTAAAAGTGTGACTAAAACATTAGAGACTCTTTTTTAAAGAACAATTGTTCACATGGTTCTGCAGTCCTTGTTAAAACTGCCAAGAGGGTAAGAAATTTAAAGTGCTGTACTTGCCTATCTATTAGAGGTCAGACACACTCAAAATATATAAAATAGGGTTTGAGTAAAATGAACAGTGTTAGATATTAAAGACGTGAATATTGTGGCATGTTCTCCAATCTCTGTTTCAGTCATGCCCTTTTTTTTTCAAAGTTAAACACTTTTAATTCTAATACATTTTAGCTTGATCAGAAAGTGTTTAGTTCACTCTCTCCCCATAAATCATAATGGGCGTTTAAACTTTAATTTTAACTGGATTGCGTCCTTAGCGACATTTTGTAAAATAAGGCATAAGTGTTCTGAGAGGAAGAAGATAGTCACTATTAAGTCTATTTTGCGGCTACGTTGTCAAAAATAAAACATCCCTAAAACCAGACTGTGACATGTTTTAAATGAACGGTGAATACGGTAACGTTGCTATAAATACGAAATCAGAGGCATCGATGCCAAAGCTACTTATTGCAAAGTATAATACTGGGACTACACAAGTGTAAACAGCTTCAAAATACTAGTTTGGATCCCATGATAAATTTCCACGAATAGGAAGGGGAGCGGTTTTTGCCAGTTTCCCTCTCCTGCTATGGTCCATCCGCCCCCCGCAGCAGCCTTTTGGGGGGCATTTCTGGCTGCTGGAGGGGAGGGGGTCCCATTCTGATGAGGGAAATGTCTTCTGTTATTGTGGGGTTGACCACAGAATCCAATACTAGGCCCATTTTGTTTGCTCAGATGGGCCACTGATCTATGGTAAATCCTTCCACGCTTAAAGCATATTTTAGGGTTCTCTTCTGAGTGGACAGGAATCATCACTATCTGTTACCTGACAACTTAAATATCCAAAGCTACGGTCAATATAAATACTTGTTGCCGTTTGCAACAATACAAAAGCATCAGTAAGTAAATTCTTCAGACATTGCGAAAGTTTCCTTCAAAACCTGAAAAAAAGTTATTACACTAAGGCTATCCTAAATTCCAAAGGCTTTATTCCCTCGTAGCAGCATACACAATCATTCCGGATATGTCATGCCTAACTAATCTAATCACAGTTAGAAGTGGGCATGCCTATAAGGCCGTCCTGTAGATGGTATCGGTCTGAGTAGAAAAACAGGTTGCCTCGTTCTCAAAGGCGTGGAAAGAACCGTAGGACCCTGCCTCTCTCCCATTCCCCATCTCCATTTTAGACCGATACTCTACGAGACATTTCCCCTACCCAGGTGATGAGAAACAGATAAAAATAAATCAACTTTGCATAGAAATAAAATGCACCGTTTCTCTTCCCACCTTTTCCATTACATAATTACAAACTGGGGAATGGTGATTCCCTTGCTATGCTCTAAATAAGCGAACTCCCTACAAGCCTCAGACGCCAGGCACCTTTTCTTAATTAATTTTCTTAATTCAACAGGAATTAATGTCATCCAACTCTGGGTTTTCCTCTTACCCCTTCAACCAACTCCCCCAACCAAACAGATCCCTTCCCATAACTTCCCAAGCTGAGCGGAAGGCAACTTCCCCAGTCGTTTTACCCCAGGGAGCCGCAGTCATGGGTGTGAACGTCGGCATCTCATGGGCAGTGCGGCGCACTGGCTACTTCTCACATGATCTACTCTCTACTTAAAACATTTAATGGCTGCCTTTCTATCTTGCGGAACTCAAGGCAGTCTACGAAAGGAAATAAAATAATGATTCTGAAATACTCACGAAAGACCACAATTTACAACCTCCAGTTAGGACGGCCAATAAATAAAACCTACATTAGCCAAATGCAGTCTTAAATAAAACTGTCTTCGACTGCCTCCTGAAGATTGAAAGTTGAGGGGGGCAGGCACACCTCCCCAGAGAGGTCGTCCCATAATCGTGTTCTGTAATCCGTTGTGCTGGGCAAAGGAGGGCCATCACCTCCTTCCGTATCACTGCAGTATTCACACACACACACACAAAAGCCCTGGGGGGATAATACGATCAGGAATAGCTTCCATGCCGGTGTGTGCAAACAACGCCACACTTACCCCTCGTTCTGTCCCATTAATGCTAGGGCCAACTCATAGCCTCAGCAGCACAGGAGATACTTGCGCAAAGCATGGCCTCGTGTTGCTCCAATGACAGCGCAGTCCTAACCAGAGTTAACACTCTTTGAAGTTCACTGAAGCCGACATAACTTTGTTTAGGACTGCACTGTGAGAGTCCCGAGCAGCCCCATGCGGGACCAGTGGCCTGTTCCTTCTCACATGAATGATGCCCAGTTGGGAGCGGGTGCAACTTCTATTGAGGATGGATCTGTATCGGCACCCACACTGAGCGTGGTTCCTTCAGACATACACTTTACCAAGCGGCATGGGACCATTCCTTAGGGAAGCAGGTCCCGCACTGCTGTAGGCAAGTGTAGATCCACCTTTAATTGCATTTCAATTCCAGCCTTGACTGAAGCCCTATTCAGAGGTTACAGTGTACACATGTCCATCCTGCATGTATGTGCATACATCTATGGGTAAGAAAGAGCCAATCCGTCTCCATTCTGCAACTGAAACCGGGGACTGGTACCTGGATAACTGTGTGGCTTACATCTAGAGATGTGAAGGCCCGGAAAAAAACCGGAAAAATTCGGGGGGGGAAACCGTTTTTTCCCTGAAGCCTTTGTGTTTTTTCCCAAAAAATTGGAAAAATTGAAAAAAGAAAAAAAAATTGACTATGGAACGTTTTATTTAAACATGATGAATAAAATATTTTAAGACAAGGTGTTCAAATATTTTCCAAATAATTTCTAAACTATATATATATGGTATCAGATTGACCTAATTTCTGAGCACTGAGGACAAGCAAGTCCTAGGTTACAAACTGAACTCTCCAATGCAAGAACAAGATGCATTTCTTCCTTCAGGAGGTGCGACTGTCAGAAGAAAATAAAAAAGTTTCAGTTTTGTTTTTGCATGTGGTTGGGTATTCTGTTTGTACTAATTGTTTGGATACACTATATTTTTAATATGCTAGTTGTGATAATTTCATGCCAAGTAAAAATGTCCATACTCATATTTTATGTTCCTAAAGTAACAGAATGACTTTCAATCTAGAAAAGACAAAAGAAATGTTAATGTAGCATTTTTTTCAATTTTTCCGAAAATTTCCGTTTCTCCCTGAAAAAAAACGGGTTTTTTTCCGAGCTTCAAAATTTCTGGAAATTTTACATCTCTACTTACATCACACGTTCAGTTGTACATGCATTGAATGTAGCATGAGAATTACTCAAAGCACGTGTATTAAAAAAACAAGTGTTCACCATGCAAGGATTGTATATGCATTCCCTGTAACTTGTGAATAGGGCCGGAGAAAAACAGAGTAGGGTGCTATTACGTCATTCTGTGAGAGCTATAAAAGTTATTCTAAGGTCTATCGAATGTGGCAATCAGAAAAGAAAGCCAGTGGCGTATAATTTCTTTTGTGATAAATACTTTAACCTACCAATTGCTATTGGTTACTACTGTACAAGTCATCTGAATCCATCTGTTTTGGCACTTTGTATTATGTGGTAATACTAAGGCTGATTTCTTTTGTTTTGTTTTTCTTTTTGAGCACTAGTGCATTATATTAGCCTTAAGTCTTGCCTTGGTGCATATGTTAGAAGATACTGAATATTTTAAATTGTGTTCAACAGCTTTTAAAACAATGTTATTCCTGTTGTTCATTTTGCTCAAACTTTTGCAGCGGTATTTCACTGTCAAGTGTTGAACCTTCATTCGCGCTTATATAAACTATGCAAGAACAAAGATCTGCAAATATAAAAGCCATTGGGTTCAGTTTCAGAGCTGTTCATTATTCAGAGTCTCCCCTGCCCTCTTCCCCACAATCAAAAATCCACAGTTATCTCTATTTCATCAACCCCTAATCCGTTCACTTTTGCTCTCGCTTCCGGCTGGCTCTTCTTTTAGACATTGATGGCGTGTGCATGCTTCTTGCACAGTGGCTTATCCTTCTTTGAATAAAAGGGCTGGCCTTCCAAATTCACGTGGCACACCTGAAAATTAGAAGAAGATTCAATATAATCAATGGGAGGAAAGAAAAGAGGCTGATTCAAGTCAAGTCAGCCTTTATTGGCATAAAATATCAGTACCATTTATACATTTTAAAACCAGTTGAAAGCACACATATAAAAATCTAAAAGAACCTTAGACGCAGCTTTAAAGCCAAGGAGAGAAACTTAGCCACCTTCTCTGTAATGTTCGGGCTGAGATCACTTAAAAGTCTATGCACCTTAAGTGCATCAGAACAAGCACCCATACTGGTTAAAAGAGAATATAAATGTGTGATCCTTAGGTCCGTGTACAGATTACAGTGCAGGAGAACATGAGTGACAGATTCCACGCATTTCTTCCTACGTGGGCAGTATCTGGCCAAATGAGAGACCTTGTTGAATCTGCCGAGTAAGATGAGAGGCTGATTCATTGGCTCAGTGTCGCCATTAGAGTAGACCTCAAAAAGAATGGGAGCCACCAACCCAGGGAACAAAGCAGAGAATGAGCCCTCAAGGTACACAAAAGCCAGTGGTATTTAGTATTATGAGTTGAAGGCATCAGCATTCTGAGTGGAAGACTCGGAGACAACAGAAGGGTTTATTAATTCTCCCTTTGCTGTTTTATAGGTCATTTTATTGTGTGGTGTATATGACTGGACTCTTCTGCATTCATGGAATCATAGAGTCGAAAGGGACCTCCAGGCCCATCTAGTCATGGATATCTCCCTGCAGTTTTACATGGCAGGTTTTTATGCCGGATGTAAACCGATGCAGTACCAGATTGACCACTAGAAGGAGCGAATTGTGTGGGGAACAGAAACCCCTGCCCCCAAAGAAGCAGTCACTCACAAGCAAGGAAGATGAGGATGCAGAAAAGCCCACTGTTACACCAAGTTTCTTTTAAAATAATATATTTGGCTGCCCTGATGGCAATATTGTCGTTGCCCAGTGGGTTAAAAACATGTTTTTGGTGCACCTTTACGTTTTTATTTCTCTCTCATTTCCAGCTGGTGAACTTAGTTGAATGCTGCTCCCCCCGTTTCAGCGTCGTGGTCCACCAGGGCTTCTGATGTCTGCAAAACTGTGTATGTTTCTATCTCAAATCCCAACATTCCATTCCGCTCTCAGTGTTCTGTTGCATTAGATCTAGCATGACTAAGAAACAGGGTCCAAGGCAGTATATAGGTGAAGAAGTAAGGTTTGATTCTCAGCTCGGGTCAGGAGCGACAGAGACCAGCCTCAGCCCCTGTCCTAGTTTTGTCTTCCAAAACCTGCCTTTACTTTCTTCCCTATAAGCAGACCAATGCCATTCACTTCTCTAGGGGAAAGCAAAGCACCCCAGCCTGTATGAGCGATGGCTGGCTCTTTCTCCTTCCCTCCATCCTTCATTTGTCCAGGGCCACTTTTTTCCTGCCAGTCCACCCCGGTTCACGCCTCTTTGTGTCCCCCTTCCTCCTGGCTGCATGTGGGGGGAGGGGGAATGGAGAGCTGCCTGCTTCCCCCCAAAGCAGCCTTCAGGAAAACTAGTTGTCATCAAGGATTCTACAGACATTACGATTGTCACTGCAATGATCTCATGTTTTGGGGTGTGTGTTTCTTTAAATGTTTAGTTTGACTGCAGTACTGTAAGGAGAGTGATAAAGGGAGACAGGTGTGATATGATTGGCTGATGATTGAGAGTGTGGGAGGAGAGGTGTCTATGAGGAGATTCTGTGTGGGAAGTTTGCATAGTCTGTGGGTCTATGGGAGTTTTTGAGTCTATTCTGTGTGAATAAGACAAAGAGTTCAGCCTGTGTGGCTATATAGATGAGAGAGAGAGAGATTAGACTGAGTGTTTATACCTGTCAGAGTGGAGTTTTGGGAGTTTGAGAGACTGTTTGTGACACCAAGCTTTGCCAGTTATATTTACAAGTTCCTTTCATCAGCAACAGTTCAAAATAACCAGAAACCAATTTTGTTCTTTATTAATCATTTTTTGTTTAAACTTATCCCAGAAATCAGAATAGTCCTTCCTCAGAGCCACATAGTTCTTTGAAGTGCCCAGACCCTAGGTCATTCTACCAAAAGAAAGCGATTTGGAATCTTTAATTCCTGGTGGTAGCAGAAATCTACAAAGATTAGGCACACAGAGAGTGTTTTAAAGGTAAAACCATCTCCCCAATAAGCGAGCACATCACAGTCACCATTAACATCCTGTTGAGAAAGACTGTCTGCTGGCATTCTTCACGTTTCTGCCACTCATAAAGAAAAACAAATGTGGGGTTTTTTTGCAATATAGTAAAAAAGGTAAACAGATTGGCACACAACCTACAGCACAAATGAAGCAGGTGTCGTGCCAAGTGTGTCCAAGGGCCTCGATGAACTTATCTCCTGCTTCAACGGGGAAGTCACATCCATGACATTTGGTGCTGAACAAGGCAACATAATCTAGAAGCAGAAAAAGTAAAAATGAAAAATTAACTTTAGAACTTCCACGGGGTTAACTTTCCTTCGAGCACCCGTCTGCTGGATAAGACGCTGGTGGTTTATTTTTGCTGGGAATCCCTCGCCTGCTTTGTGGACTTTTGCAGAATGAATCTTGTGAAGTGCTTGTTCTCCTTTCCATTGTATTATTATTATTATTTTTTGGCCGACGCATTCGAGTATGACGCACGTCACTGAATAACATTTAGGCTCGGAGCGCAAACAATGCAGGAACCTGAAAACGATGTTTTAAAGATCCTCCCGAAATACATCTGCTGGGGTAGCCCACCTGCTTCCTCCCAACTGAGCAGACTGCCCAATGGTTCTCAGTAGGGCTCTTTTTGTAGCAGGAACTCCATTACATATTAGGCGACACACCCCTAATGTAGCCAATCCTCCAGGAGCTTACAGTAGCCCCTGTAAGAAGAGCTCTGTAAGCTCTTGGAGGATTGGCTACATTAGGCGTGTGTCACCCAATATGCAAAGGAGTTCCTGCTACAAAAAGAGCGCTGGCAGAATCCTTAATCCTGCACCCCAGGACATATGAGGAGGGGCATATGGGGGAGTGTGGCCGCAGGGGGTAAAGCATCTGCTTTGCATGCAAAAGATCACAGGTTTGGTCCCCGGCACCTCCAGTTAAAAGGATCAGGCAACAGGGGAGGTGAAAGACCTCAGCCTGAGACCCTGGAGAGCCGCTGCTAGTCTGAGTAGACTTTGATGGACCAAAGGGTCTGATTCAGTTTAAGGCAACTTTATGTGTATGCATAGCATATGTTCAATTTTGGAACAATTCAGCGGCCTCGCTGAAGCTAACCAGGGTTGTGTTGGATCATAGCCTGCACTGGAGATAACCTGGGCATGCCATCCAAGCCACCTGGAGTTCCATGATGGAAGAAGAATGGCACAGAAATGCAGGAAATAACTTTATACCTTTCGATATCCAGGAGCCTCCAACTTCTAATCTAGGACCCCCTTCAAAAATTTTTTTTTGTATTGTTATGACTTCTATCTCTATCTCCTCTTTAAAAAAAAAGACTTTAAAGAATTTGGACCAATTCACATGTTACAAAGTCCTTGCACTCTATGCATTTTGGGTTGACAAACATGGGCCCCGGTCACACGGCAAAGTTGCCGCGGGAGAGGCACGGATGGTGGGCGGATTATCCGGGCGCAATCACACCCCAACCACTGGGAAGTGGAGCGCACCCGTGGCTTACCGCCGACAATGCGCCTTAAAAAACTAGTACCTCCAAGGTACCAGTAAACGTTTGCCAGGGGCTGCCTCCAGACGCCGGTGGTGGGATCGCGCTGGCACGCGGCATTCCCCTCCGGTCCCTCGTATACTCTCCGGTGCCGAGGGAAGGACCCGTGGTCAATGTTCCCTCTAAGCTGTGGAGTCTTGTGAGCAAAAATTCTGCTTTGTGAGCAACTGGCATTAAAGTTGGGAGTGAGCGATTTGGGTGCTGCATAAATCAGTTTGCTCTGGAGCCCTCCTTCCTGAGCGAAGACAAAAATCTGTGAGCCGGAGGCTAAAAAACTGTGAGCTGGCTCACACCAACTCAGCTTAGAGGGAACACTGCTGGTGTGCCGCCGGTGCGTCTGATCATGTAATCGCGGATCAAACTGCGCTGGGGCTATTAGCCACGCCTCCCCCCCCCCGCAATATCCGGCCCGTGTGACCGGGGCCATGATCTGGAAGTTCTGTGTTTGGAAGCCCTGCATGGGCCCCGTTTCAACCAGGACCATGGTGTATAGAGAGAAGAGGTTTAAGCCTCCTACCCCGGGCCCTTTTCCTGTGTGTCTCAAGGAGCTGCTGTTCCCCATTAGCGAAACTGGGGCCCAGCCATTGGTTAAGTTTCCCCAGTGGGGCCAAGAGCAGCTCCCTGGGATCAGCTTGGGAAAATGTCACCAGAGTCAGGGCTGCAGGCCCCCCCCCCCCGTCTGCACCAATCCCAGTCTGAATTAGGATCATGCCTAATGAATTAGGACCACACCTACTGACCCGACACGTGGCGGGCAAGCGGAGGACGTGCAAGCTTGGCCCTTCGTGGTGACGTCAGCTGTGGCGATCTTCCTCTGGGTCCTTGACTTACCGTAGATGAGTAACATTTTTAAAAAAATTTGTGGTCACTTGGGTATGGACTTCTATGGGAATAGATGGAAGAAAGACCGTCCCGATAATATTCTCCATGAAATCTAGTTATAAGGGACCGTACACAGAGCTTCTCGGACATCTGCTGCTGCCAGGAGCGAAAGGGGAGCTCGGGCCATTTGAAATTCTGCGGGGCGGTGGCAGCTCTTTGGCAACACTAGCTCAAAGCTACAGCAAGGGTATGGAAAATATTACTAGCTGCCCTCATGGAGCGTTTGAGCTTCCAGATCAGCTCATCATTGCCGCCTTCTGCCTGTCCCCTAACAAATCTTCCTCCGTAGTCGCCTTGGCCAATCCGTAAGAAAAGTACCAACACATGCAGTAAGTGGATGTAACCACATGCAATGTTCCCTCTGAGCTGTGGAATCTTGTGAGCAAAAATTCTACCCTGTGAGCTACTGGCATGAAATCTGTGAGCGAGCGATTTGGCTGCTGCATAAATTAGTTGGCTCTGGAGCCATCCTTCCTGAGCGAAGACAAAAATCTGTGAGCTGGAGGCTGAAAAACTGTGAGCTAGCTCACACTAACAGCTTAGAGGGAACACTGGCACATGGTAAGCTTTCTCCAGGGCTCTGACATTTGGGGGGGGGGGGTTGGCAGGGGATGCAGAAGAAGAAGAGATTAGATTTATACCCCGCCCTTCACTACTCGAAGGTGTCTCTGAGCGGCTTACAAACTCCTTTCCCCTCCCCCTCCCCACAACAGACACCCTGTGAGGTAGGTGGGGGCTGAGAGAGCTCTTACAGAAAGTGCTCTTTTTTCAAGAACAGCTCTTATCAGAACCACGGCTTGCCCAAGGTCATCCAGCAGCTGTGAGTGGAGGAGTGGGGAATCAAACCCGGTTCTCCCAGATTAGAGTCTGCGCACTTAACCACTACACCAAACTGGCTGTCTAGATGCAGGAGAATGGTCAAGGAACAAAGTGCCGCAAGGTACCTTCGTTTGTTCTTTCGGCAACAGAGAACCTCTGAGGCATCTAACCAACCCACTGCCTGTGCACGAGTGCTGATTAACGTGGGGGGTGAAGAGACCGGAGGCTTTAGAAAGAATAACAGAGCCATAGATGTTTGCACCAGGTTGCTTTTGACTCACAACATTTCAGCAGCGCTGTTGCGCAATACCTTTCTCGCAGTAGGGCTCTCCATCCTCCATGTGGAAGAGGCTGTTCCCAAAGGGCTTCCTGCAGGCGGCACAGACAAAGCAAGTGGTGTGCCAGGTCTGCCTGAGGGCATGCATCACTTCCTGAAAGGCAAAGAAGAGCAGGTGGGTGGTGGGTGCCCCTGGAACACAGGTGAACCTCAGAAACTAGCATGAGCTCAAGCAGAAGAGCGGGGCCACGGGTTTTGCCTCGATCGCCTGGTTGCTGCTTCTCCTGCAATGGAAACAGGGTGGGAAGCAGGGCTATTTTGGGGCAGGAACGCACAGGAACGGAGTTCCGGCTGGCTCCCGAGTTGGCCACGCCCAGCAGGAACTCATTAGCATAACAGGCCACACCCAACTGCAGAAACTCATTAGGATTGGCTACATTAGGGGTGTGTGGCCTAACATGCAAAGGAGTCCCTGCTACAAAAGAAGGCCCTGGGTGTTGACAACAAACAAGGTAAACAGAATAAGAAGCAAAAGGTGGGTGTGGCTGGATGACCACAATTCTGGTAACATGGGGGTGCGGCCTAATGTGCTAACGAGCTGTGCTGTCAGGGGTGTGGCCTAATATGCTTATGTGTTTCTGCTGCTGGGTGTGGCCTATTATGCTAATTAGTTCCTGCTGGGCTTTTTCTGCAAAAAGAGCCCTGGTGGGAAGAAACTGGGGGGGGGGGGAGGAGCACTTCAGCCTTCCCCCGCTAACTATTGCTGGCTGTTTTTCTCCAGCAAAGGGCGCCCAGGGATCCGTAGTCGGGGTAAAGTTGGTCTGTAGGAGAGACTGTCGAGTGGGACCAGGACTGGCACTGCTCCTGTGCGGTTTGGACGCGGGAGGGTGCGGTTTGCAGCTGAGCCGTTTTGGAAAAGAGGAGACCGCTTGGCCCTTCCTCCCTGACGCCTGCATTCAAACGTCACACTCAGCCCTGACGTGTGTGTGCACAAACCTGCAAAAATAAATCCACAAGAACTGTGCACGGTGCGCTCAATATTTCTTTAACAAAAATTGTGAAGTTATGAATATGAAAGTACAAAAGTAATAATGATACATTCAAATTACAGATTCAGGTACATAAAGATAGAAGGCGACAGCAACGGGACGGTAGTCTCCGGAATGCAGTGCCGTTTCGACAGACGTCTTCTTCTAACCAATAGTTTGATAATGTATGAAAAACTGCACTTCAATGGAAAAGCTGCCCAATTCACATGGAGTTTGATAACAGTTTCACCTATTACCTTGCACAAATAATGGAGGAGAACGTCTCTCAGACATAAGCTTTAATCTGTCCCGTTGTTGTCACCTTCTATCTTTATGTAACCGAATCTATAACTTGAATGTATTATTATTACTTTTGTACTTTCATATTCATAACTTCACGATTTTTGTTAAAGAAATATTGAGCACACTGTGCACAGTTCTTGTGGATTTATTTTTGCATGTCTATGGACTGTGGCCATATTTATTTTGGTGTGCACAAACCTGGCCGGGTGCTGGACTTGCGCATGTGGCTCGCTCCTTCCCCTCCGGCACTGGGAATCATGACCAGAAATCAGTTCTGGCTACCTGTGACATACGAACGCGGGCACGCAGGTGAAACGGGGTTCTGTTCTCCCCGTTTAGAATTCCGGGGTGGGATTAGGGTTGGAGGGGGTAAGGCGTGAACTCTGGTCCACTTGCATTTCTTTATTTGTTTAGGATATTTCTATGCCGCCTCTTCAAAGTCCTGCTCAAAGCGGCTGGCAATTGAAAAAGCACTGCATTAAAAAAAAAAAAAAAACAGCCGTTGGATCCAATGTTCCCTCTAAGCTGTGGAGTCTTGTGAGCAAAAATTCTACTTTGTGAGCTCCTGGCATTAAAATTGTGAGCAAGTGATTTGGCTGCTGCATAGATTAGTTTGCTCTGGAGCCATTCCTAAGATGAGCTAAGGCAAAAATCTGTGAGCTGGAGGCTAAAAAGCTGTGAGCTAACTCACACTAACTCAGCTTAGAGGGAACACTGGTTGGATCTAAGCGGCATAAAAATACCCATAAAACAGAAGCAGAGTACTCAAAAGCTGGTAACACCTAATGTTTGCCTATGCAGGGAAGCAAGCAGTGCTTGGGGAAGGGGCAGTGGTGGGGAGTCCTCCAGGTGGCCCAGAGAGTTGGGGGGGCTGCATGGAAGTCAGGGGGCCTTGGCAGGAAGTCAGGGGGCCAGGCCCCAAAATGTCCCACTGTAGCTATGGGCTTGGGCTGCTGAGAGTATTTATGGGGCCCTCCGTGCAAATGTGAGGCACGGTCTTCCTAAAAAGGTAAAGGTTTCCCTTGCTCGAAAGCCAGTCAAGTCCAACTCTAGGGTTGCGGTGCTCATCTCCGTTTCAAAGCCGAAGAGCCAGCGCTGTCCGAAGATGTTTCCGTGGTCATGTGGCCGGCATGACTAAACACCAAGGCGCACGGAATGCTGTTACCTTCCCACCAAAGTGGTACCTATTTATCTACTACAGAGAGGTTATTTCAGTAAGGGGCAAAGCTCTTTCACAAACGGGGGGAGGGGGGACAAGATTCTCCGAAAGGGTTAAAGGCATCCCCTTTGCACGTATTGAAGGTTGATGTGCAAGAAGAGTATCTTTTAATGACAATTCCGCCTCCTAATAACTACGACAGTGTTATCCACACATCAGGTATGTGCTGGATTGTGGCACAGCTATGGAAATTAAGTCTCAAATAATCAGGGGAAACTATCAACCGAGTCATTCATAGACTAGTCGGAGGAGCAGCGGCCACCACTAATTACAACTCTGGCCGCTCCTGAAATGCTCGGGCGCTTCCCTTCTCCAGATTTTTAATTCCTACGTACACAAATGGTTATGCAATTTAATCTGACGCCCTGCCCTTTCCTACAGCTGACAGCCCCGGCATCACCGACGTGAGCGGCATGTCTCATGGGTGAGTCATCCGCAGCAAGTTTCATTAAATTAAATTGATGTTTGCCAAACAGCCAGGCCGGCTAAGTGAACCTGGATTAAGCGATGAAGCCTGCCGAGAAGCCAAAGGCAGGCCGGCGACAGAGGTACGGTGGGATTCTGCAGGCAAATCCACAGCTGTCAGTGTTCGGCAGAGGGCTGCCTCCCTTCTCACGGGACACGGCACCCTGCGCGAGCCAGAGGACAGCGCTGATTCTCAGACTGAGGAGGACTCCAGATGCTGCCCAGCCTTCATCAGGTCAGGCCTATGGTTCATCTCATCCAGCATCCTGTTTGCCAGGAAGTTGGCCAGTCAGGTGCTTCAGGGAGCCCCTGCCGGCAACAACCCTTTTGCTTCCTGATTGCTTCCCAGCGTCTGAACCACCAGAGGCGTTCTGCCTCTAATCCCAGAGGTCCCATCCAGCTGTTATGGCTAACAGCCAATGACAGGACCAATGCTCCCTCTAAGCTGTGGAGTCTTGTGAGCAAAGATTCTACTTCACTTCGTGAGCTGCTGGGATTGAAGTTGTGAGTGAGCGATTTGGCTACCACATGAATTAGTTTGCTCTGGAGCCCTCCTTCCTGAGCAGAGACAGAAATGTGTGAGCCGTAGGCTAAAAAACTGTGAGCTAGCTCACACTCACTCAGCTTAGAGGGAACACTGGACAGGACTGTCTTCCATAAATCTGCGTATCCTCCTTTAAAATCTGTCTAAATCACTAGCCATTTCCACATCTCAGGGCAGCGAGGGTGCAGGTACAGCACTCCCTCTAAGCTGAGTTAGTGTGAGCCAGCTCACGGTTTTTTTTAGCCTCCGGCCCACATGTTTTTGTCTTCGCTAAAGAAGGATGGCTCCAGGGCAAACTAATTTATGCAGCAGCCAAATCGCTCGCTCCCAACTTTCATGCCAGTAGCTCGCAAAGTAGAATTGTTGCTCACAAGACCCCACAGCTTAGAGGGAGCATTGGTTCCAGAACCTCATTTTGTCTGGCTTGAATTTACTGCCACTCAGTTTCATAGAGTCACCCAGAGTTCTAGTATTGTGGGAGAGGGGGAAAAAAGGTTCCTTCTATCCACTTGCTGTACAGTACACATCATTCTGTAGACATCTATCATGTTACCCCTCAGTTATCTTTCTTTTAAAATGGAAAAGATCACAGGGAGAGGCCCTCACGACTGTCCGACCAATCAAAAAAGCAGGCACACAAGAGAGGGTCTTTTTGGTGTAAAGGTAAAGGTCTCCCTTGCTCGAAAGCCAGTCGAATCCGACTCTAGGGTTGCGGTGCTCATCTCCGTTTCAAAGCCGAAGAGCCAGCGCTGTCCGAAGACGTTTCCGTGGTCATGTGGCCGGCATGACTAAACACCGAGGCGCACGGAACGCTGTTACCTTCCCACCAAAGTGGTACCTATTTATCTACTTGCAATTCCTTGCTTTCAAACTGCTAGGTTGGCAGGGGCTGGAACTAGAGACGGGAGCTCACTCCATCATGCGGCACTTGGGTCTCGAACTGCTGAACTACTGACCTTCCACAGCCTGCAGTTCAGCGTCTTAACCACTTGAGCCACCGCAGCTCCAGCAGCGTCTTTTTGGTGGCAGCCCCACAATTATGGAACAACCTCCCCAGGGAGGTACACTCAAAGGCATTTGAAGACAGTTTTATTTAGGATGGCATTTGACTAATTTAATTTTTATTTATTGGCAGCCCTAACTGAGATTTTAAATTGTGGTGTTTTATGGCTCAAGTGGTTAAGACGCTGAACTGCAGGCTGTGGAAGGTCAGTAGTTCAGCAGTTCGAGACCCAAGTGCCGCATGATGGAGTGAGCTCCCGTCTCTAGTTCCAGCTCCTGCCAACCTAGCAGTTCGAAAGCAAGAAACTGCAAGTAGATAAATAGGTACTGCTTCGATGGGAAGGTAACAGCGTTCCGTGCACCTCGGCCACATGACCATGGAAACGTCACTGCACACTGAATTGACCATTCCGGTAAGAGATCCACTACAACCCAAACATCTTTTTTCTTGGTCCATCATCACCCGCTCAGAACCCGTCAGCGTGTTGTGAAAAAAAACTTCTTCTTTTTTTTTTCCTCCAACGTATATAACTTTGAGGAGCTGCAGTGGCTCAAGTGGTTAAGACGCTGAACTGCAGGCTGTGGAAGGTCGGTAGTTCAGCAGTTCGAGAACCGGGTGCCGCATGATGGAGTGAGCTCCCGTCTCTAGTTCCGGCTCCTGCCAACCTAGCAGTTCAAAAGCAAGAAATTGCAAGTAGATAAATAGGTACCGCTTCGGTGGGAAGGTAACAGCGTTCCGTGCGCCTTGGTGTTTAGTCATGCCGGCCACGTGACCACGGAAACGTCTTCAGACAGCGCTGGCTCTTCGGCTTTGAAACGGAGATGAGCACCACAACCCTAGAGTCGGATTCGACTGGCTTTCGAGCAAGGGAACCTTTACCTTTTATATAACTTTGTCCTCCGCCTACGCTGAATTTCACCTGCTGTGTTATTGCCCGTTTGCCCAGTTGGGGGAGCTCTTTTGGGAACTTCTCCCAATCCTCTTGAGTTTCCATTATTCCAAACAATCTGATGTCATCTACAAACATTGCTATCTCGCTTTCCCTTCTTGGTCCACTTTAGTGCTGTCCCCAAATCCATCCTTCAGCCACTTAACCCGCCCCCCCCCCATAAAGTGGACTCCAGGGTTGGCATCAGCACACCCAATGGTGAGGAAGCTGCCAGGGCCCACTGTTGTCAGCCCCACCCATTTGCTAGACCTCCGCCATGATCGTAGCTGCTCCATGCACTGCCCAGAGCCACAGGTAGGGTTGCTAACCCCCCAATGGGGGGGTGTTTCTCCCGCTTTCCGGCCCACCAACCCACCGCTGGTCAGCAGGGGGAGCTAGGACTGCCAAGTGGGTGCGGGTGGCGGGTAAACCCCCGCTTTGGAGGCCCGATTTACGCCGCCGCGGAATCGGGCCCCGGGGGGAACTCTGCCCCCCGAAGCGCAGCGCGGCTGCGTCACTGGAGGTGACGCAACGACATCGATCACGTTGGGGCGTGGCCCCGATTGTCGGAGGGAAAACTCTATGGTTTTCCCTCCAACGATCTGGGCCACGCCCCCAACGTGATCGACGTGGTTGCGTCACCTCCGGGATGTGCTGGCTCCCGGAGCCCGGCGACGCTCCCCCGCCGGTAAGGATATTCGACTTGGCAACCCTAGGGGGAGCCCTGTCCCCGAAGAGCCCCGTCACAATGACGTCATCCGGAGTTGGCGTCATCATGCTGGGCATCTCATGCGGGGGACGCTCTAGCGTTTGGGTAAAAACTCTATGATGTACGATGTGCCCGGCATGACGACATCACTTCCGGGTGACGTCATCACAGCATGCGCACTTTGCGCATGCGCCAGAAGACTCCAAAAGCTGGGCTGAAGCCCCCCGCCGGGACCAAGGGAAGACTTGCCGACGACCCTAGCCACGGGACAAAGGGCTGCAGGTGGCAGTGAACCTAGGCAGTGGGGGAGCTAAAATGTGGGCAGGGGAGAGAAAAGGAGGAATGAGGCATGTTGGTGGGTGGGAGGGAGGGAGGGAAGGAGGACATGTTTGAGGGCCTGGTGGTGAGAAGAAGGGGGGGGTCCCTGGGAACTCCCTGTCTGGGGCCCCCACAACCTGGAACCAGCCCTGCCTGTCTCTGCCAAAGAGTTCACTTTCTGGCATGGCTGCAGCCAATGTTCCCTCTAAGCTGTGGAGCCTTGTGAGCAAAAGCTCTACTTTGTGAGCTCCTGGCATTAAAGCTTTGAGCGAGCGATTTGGCTCTTGCATGAATTAGTTTGCTCTGGAGCCATCCCCCCTGAGCTAAGACAAAAATGGGTGAGCCAGAGGCTAAAAAACTGTGAGCTAGCTCACACTGACTCAGCTTAGAGGGAACACTGGCTGCAGCGCTTTATTTTGGACTTACTCCCATGATCTTCGTATGGCATCTAGCACAGGTCGGGGCGAAGAACTGTTCGTAGCAACGCTCGCAGTAAACACTGTTCTGCTCCTCGACAAAGCCAACATCAGCCAGAGATGCTTTGCAGTAGGCACAGTTGAATTCCTCCGGGTGCCAGGAACGCCCCATGGCTACCAGGAAAGGACCCCTGAGAAAGAGAGCAGCATGTCAGTACGTGGCAAAAGCCCCTGAAGGAGGCAAACATAAAACGGCATTCCCACTGTATAAAAACCTGTGTTGGCAGTGTAATGTTTTAACTCACATGGCTTTCCCCAATGGATCCTGGGGACTGTAGTTTGCCAAGGGTTCTAAGGGAGAGTCCCAACCTTCCACATGAACTACAACCAGTGTTCCCTCTAAGCTGAGTTAGTGTGAGCCAGCTCACAGTTTTTTTAGCCTCTGGCTCACACATTTTTGTCTTCGCTCAGGAAGGAGGGCTCCAGAGCAAACTAATTTATGCAGAAGCCAAATCACTCGCTCACAACTTCAATGCCAGTAGCTCACAAAGTAGAATTTTTTGCTCACAAGACTCCACAGCTTAGAGGGAGCATTGACCACAACTCTTAAGAGTTTTTCTGCAAAGTTGGAATGACTGTTAAATTCATTCTCTAGTGCAGATTTGAGTGGTGCCAATTTAGAAAGATCTATGGAACACGATGCATATGCAGCTGGGGTCGCGAAGAGTTGGACTCGACTGTGTGACTGAACAGCAACAACAACAAGAAAGCTAAGTAGAAAACACGAAGCAGAAGAAGAGGAGGAGGAGGAGGAGATTGGATTTATAGACCCGCTTTTCTCTCGGAGTCTCAGAGCAGCTTACAATCTCCTTTCCCTTCCCCTCCCCACGACAGACACCCTGCTGTGACGTAGGTGGGGTTGAGAGAGCTCTTTCAATGACTGCTCTTGAGTGAAAAGCTCTGGGAGAACTTGTGACTGACCCAAGGTCACACCAGCAGCTGCATGTGGGGAATTAGAGTCTGCACTCTTAACCACTACACCAGACCAATGCTCCCTCTGTTGTGGAGTCTTGGGGAAAAAAATTCTACTTTGTGAGCTACTGGCATTAAGTTTGTGAGCGAGCTATTTGGCTACTGCATAAATTAGCTTGCTCTGGAGCCATCCTTCCTGAGCAAAGACAGAAATGTGTGAGCTGGAGGCTAAAAAACTGTGAGCTAGCTCACACTAACTCAGCTTAGAGGGAACACTGCACCAGGCTGGTTTTTGGGGAAAACATCCGAGCCTCAAAGTTCCACAGATCTCAGTGGAACGTATGCAGACTGACTTAACTCCAGACAGGACTATTATTTTAGTGCCTGTAATTGCAATGAAATGTGGCAGATCTAGTACAAACATGTGAGTACCCAGATGACTTCAAAATCATTAAAAGTTTGTGACCACTCAGCAGTGTTCCCTCTAAGCTGAGTTAGTGTGAGCTAGCTCACAGTTTATTAGCCTCCGCCTCACATGTTTTTGTCTTAGCTCCGGAAGGACAGCTCCAGAATGACCGATTATGAACGTGAGTCAATTTCATAGTGTTTAAAGAGAAAAACATAGCTCCCCACCCCACCCCACCCCACTGAACGGGAGAAAAAAACAAGCGGGGGAGGGACGCCTCCCATGCGCATGAATTTTTGAACAATTGAGTGGGGGAGCGGAAGAAAACGCGAGGGAAACTGCCTAGAAGTACTTACCAAAGTGAGTCCAAGCGGTCAAGCGCACATTCAGAGACTTTTAAAAAGTTTGCAAAAGTAAACAAATTATAAAGATGGTGGGGAAGAGGGATAAAGAAAGACTTTTGAAAGCAAAAGGGCTTGAGAGCCCAAAACCGGAAACTACCAGTGAGACGGCAAAGGCTGGAGCTGACTACATGCGCCCTCTACTGGAACAGCTGAATAACTTCAAAGAACAGATGTCCGTGGTTACTCAAGGCATTACTGCACAACAAACACAAATAAACAATTTAATACAAATAATGAAGCAAGATGCCGAGAAGGTAAAGGAAGTGGCTGCAACTACACAGAAAGTGAAGAAGAAAGTGCAAAAGCTGGAAAAGAAACAAACTTCCTTGGAAGATCAAATGCTGCAAGTTCAAATGGATACGGCCAACATGGTCCTGCGCTTCCAGGGCGTGCCAGAGAACAGAGGGGAGAATCTTAAAGAACTGATGAGTGAACTACTAGCCCCAGTAACAGAAATGAAGGCAGAATCGCTGCTCAATGATATGGATGTGGTTTACAGATCATACTCAGGATATATAAAGAAAAATAATCTGCCTCGGGAAATTGTAGTAAGATTCTCTAAAAGGCATGTCAGGGATGCTATCCTGAAAGCGGTTGCTGGAACACCCCTGAAAGCAGGGGAAAACACCATCAGAACGCTAAAGGATATTCCATTTGAAGTAAGACAACGTAAAAAGAAATACAAAGAACTCGTGCTTTTTCTTCAAACAAAGTCAATTGGATATAAATGGCTATTTCCAGAAGGCGTAACTTTTAAGATCAAAGATAAAAAAGAAAAGATTGACTCTGTTCTGAAAGCTCAAGAATTTCTAAGGGTCCAGCTGGGAAGGTCAGAGGACGAGAAAAAAGAAGAAGACAGCAAGTCCAGTGGCGAGCTGGAAACTGGTTCTTCCGGAGAGGACTCTCTGTCTGAGCAAGGGGCGGCAGCCCCAAAAAGTCCTTATAAGTTGCGGAAGAGAAGGGAAAAGAAGAAGTAAAGGCTGAAGAATTGTGCCTTTGAGAACTCTGGTTTTGGGATGATTGGCGGTACTGTTACTAGACAGTTAAATTTAAACTCTAAGGGGAAAGGGCTATAAATGTCTGACTCAGTTTATTAAAGGGTCAACGATGAGAAGACTTGATGTATCTAAGCTAGTTGGAGGATCTCCTCTCTTGGGTTTTTAGTTAATAGTGGGTTCTTTACTTTCTCCTGTATATGTAGTTTCCCCCCTCCTTTTTTTTCTGTTGTAGTTCTTTGTAGTGGATAAAATCAATAAAAAATCCCCTCCGGGGGCTTAAAAAAAGAAGAAGAAAGGCAGGAAATAGCAAACCACCTCTGTTTGTCTCTTGCCTGAAAACCCTGAGTGGTTGCCATTCATCGGCTGCAACTTGATGACCCCTTTCCACTGCCACGTAGCTAATATCTCTTTTTTTGAGAAAGTTACTACCTTGCTGGATCAGGGGAATGCTATCGACACAGTTTATCTTGATTTCAGCCCCTTTGTTTAGAAACTGGTCTAAATTTAGTAGAGACAAGAGATTGGCTTATGACGATTAAGTTCTCGGAATCGCAATGGAAGACCTCTTCCTATCTGATGAATCCTATAATTTTAGACGAATTAAACAGAGCCTCCTTGATTTAGAACTTATTAAGTTATGTCCTGTTCAATATTATATGGGCTCACCTGCGGCGCTTGGTCTTGCTCAACCTATTGGGAAAATGGCCAACTATTTATGTGATCTTGCAAGCCCCCAACAAAGGAAAGCATTTACGTTGGTGAGGATGACTTCCTTTCCTTCAAACGTTGTTTACGGTAGATTCCTCCAAATTCCATATAGTGAGAGAGTCTCTCCTTGTGGGGCAAATATTCCAGATTCCATCCAACATATATTGCTGGACTGCCAGCTATATTCTAATCCCCGGAGGGAACTTTTTGGTAATCCCTCCCTCCCTCCCTGTAATCTGGTAAATGGGATTGACTATCGTCGCTTATTAAAAGATAATGAAAGAAATCACAAGGGCTGTTAGTAAATTCCTGGAGAAGTCTATTAAAATTTACGAGGGGCATGTCTCACCATGAATTATATATATATTTGTTCTTAATCTTGAACTGTATATTTTGCTTGTTCCTATTTTGTACTATGTCTGAGTATGCCAATAAAAGATATGACCGACTGACTGACGGATTAAATTCTGATTGCATTTGCATTATTACGTGGACCCTGGGAGTTTCATTCAGCAGATGCTCACTGAGCCCAATATCTCTAACTGGTCATCTTATATTGAGGGAAAAGTCCTGGCCATTCACATTTCCCTAGATTTAGGGTTAGGGTTAGGGTTAGGGTTGCTGACCATGCTCCCTTCCACGGGTGCGTACTTCTTAATAAAATGCAGAATCCTTAACACTGCAGCTCAAAAGATTTATAGTTTGGCTAACAAGTCTTGGTGTCGTGGTTAGTGGTTAAGTTGGTGTCGTGGTTAAGTGCGCGGACTCTAATCTGGGAGAACCGGGTTTGATTCCCCACTCCTCCACTTGCACCTGGCTGGATGACCTGGGGCAAGCCATAGATCTGATAAGAGCTGTTCTTATTTATTTATTTATTTATTTTATTTCACTTATACCCCACCCTCCCCGCAAGCGGGCTCAGGGCGGCTTACACAGGCACAACTGTGCAATAAAATACAACAGGATTACAACAGTTAAGGCACCAAGTGCAATAAAAATGGAACAAGTTAAAACAATTAAAACAAAAACTCACATCTTGCAGGATACATTAGGAACTAAAATACTCACTCCCTATTGTATATCGCGGTGGGATCAAGCGAGGGGGGCTTTCAAGATCACATAAATAGTTGGCCATTTCCCCAACAGGTTGAGCAAGACCAAGCGCCGCAGGTGGCTAACTGAGGCCAAGGTGACCGATATGAAGGGTTTAGCTCAACTGATGCTCCTTGATCAGTTTTACTCCAAGATCCCTCAAGAGTTAAAATGTCTAATCAAGGATAAGGAGCCCCAAACCCTTACTAAAGCCACTGACCTGGCAGACAAGCTGGTAGCCAACGGGGAAGGGATGGAGTAGAAAAGCCCGGTAGGAGGTGGAAGGGGTGGTCTTATGAGCAAAAATTCTACTTGGTGAGCTACTGGCTTTAAACCGGTGAGCGAGCGATCTGGCTACTGCATCAATCAGTTTGCTCTGGAGCCACCCTTCCTGAGCTAAGGCAAAAATGTGTGAGCCGGAGGCTAAAACACTGTGAGCTAGCGCACACTAACTCAAGCTTAGAGGGAGCACTGGTCCTGAGTTAGGGCTTCTCTGCTGCCCTGCACAAACGAAGAGTGCTCCTGAGCATTCTGAGAGAGACTGGTCATGCACACCATGCTGTCTTTTAGAGGAACTTCTTTGCCAATACTGGTCTTTCTCAAGGAAAGCCCCCTGTTGACCCAAAGGCTTCCCGAAACAGTACTTGAAAACCCTGAGGCCAGGGCTCGGAGGTGGAGCATCTGCTTTGCACGAGGAAGCTCCCAGGATCAATCCCAGGCATCTCTGGTGGAAACGGTCAGTTAACAAATGATGTGAAGGACCTCTACTTGACACCCTGGTCTGCACTGGCCGCCTATAGCATACCGAATTCGGTTCAAGGTGCTGCGTTGGTACTTACCTTTAAAGCCCTTTATGGCCAGGGACCTATGTACCTAAAAGACCCTCTTTCCCCATACGTTCCCCAGCGAGCACTGCGATTGGGTACTCAAAATCACCTGGTCCTCCCAGGCCCTAGAGAAGCCGGGCTTGCAGCAACAAGGGCCAGGTCCTTCTCGGTGGCGGCTCCATACCGGTGGAATGAGCTCTCGGAAGACATCAGGGCCCTCTGGGAGCTTTTACAGTTCCACAGGGCCTGTAAAACTGAGCTCTTCCACCAAGCATTCGATTAAGGAGCCGCCGCAACCATCTGAGGCCCTGGGCCCAATACCATCAATATTTTAGTAACACCAACAATATCATGAACACCATTGGACAGCCTGTACCTTGCTGAACTGACCCGGACCGTGCGCTAATTGATTGTGGACTCCTGCCATCAGGGCTATTTTTGGGCAGGAACGCAGAGGAACGGAGTTCCGGCTGGCTCCCAAGTTGACCACACCCAGAAGGAACTCATTAGCATAATAGGCCACACCCAACAGCAGAAACTCATTAGGATTGGCTACATTGGGGTGTGTGGCCTAACATGCAAAGGAGTTCCTGCTACAAAAAAAGGCCCTGGGTTTTGACAACAAACAAGGTCAACAGAATAAGAAGCAAAAGGTGGGTGTGGCTGGATGACCACACTTCTGGTAACATGGGGGTGTGGCCTAATAGGCTAATGAGCTGTGCTGTCAGGGGTGAGGCCTAACATGCTAATAAGTTTCTGCTGTTGGGTGTGGCCTGTTATGCTAATGAGTTCCTGCTGGGCTTTTTCTACCAAAAGAGCCGTGCCCGCAATTGCTAGCACTTTATGTATTGTTTTTAGATTTAATTTATTGTAATTTTAACTGTGAAATTGTTTTATCAGTAGTAATGATGTGAGCTGCCCTGCGCCTGCTGCGGCGGGGAGGGGGGGGATAGAAGCCAAATAAAATAAATAAATCCACTCTGAGTAGACAATACTGACCTCGAGAGAGCAATGGTCTGGCTCAGCTACAAGGCAGTTTGATCCAGATATGAGTCCAGTAGCATGTGAGACCAGGAAGATTTTCAGGATCGGCGTCAAAGTTCCCTCCGTCACTTATCTGACGAAGGGAGCTTTGGCTCTTGAAAGCGGACAGCCCAAAAGCCTTGTTCGTCTCTAAGGTGCTCCTGGACTCCAACCTAGCTGTTCTACCCCAGACCGATACAGCTCCCCTCTGAAATCAAAGACAGTGTCATGTGTTCAAATTCACATGGCCACTCCTCTGAATGACTCCGCCGCAAGACGCTTTCCGATTCTACCCCTCTCCCCGGAAAAGTCCCGTCGCCATACCTGATCACGCTGTTGCAGTGTCCACAGAGCGGAGTTCGGCTGCTTGCCGGGAAGCGTTCGGCCCTCTGGATGGTTCCCCGGGCTACGGCAGGGGCCTGGGAGGAGGCCGGAATCGAAGGAGGAGGGTAAGAGGGGGCGGAGGCAGGGGCTGGTGGCACCGGAGCACCTCGGGGCAGGATATGCTTCGTGACCGTGGTTGTCGATTTCCCGGGAGCGAACTTCTGGGAGAACGAATCGTCGGTTATCCAGGGAGGACGGCTTGAAGGCTCAGTATCGCTGGGAGGGTATGAATGAGCTGGGGCCGGGGCTGGCGCTGGAGCCAGTGCAGGAGCCGGAGCTGTTTAAAGCAAAAAAACAAACAAAACCAGAGTGATCTGTCTTTTAAAAACAGATACGCGTTTTGCGACCGGAAGCTTTTACCAAAACCTCCCGCCTTAGATGACCCTTGTCACTGCCTCAAGCCCATTCCCCAAAATCAAGTTCTGCAAGAGATTCCAGGATATCAGATCTTTGCACGGCAAAAGCAGCAGTCTGGTTTTCTTGTGGTTCTTCAAGGTCACCAACAATCATGTAACACAGAACATAAGAGAACATCAGAGAAGCCAATGTTGGATCAGGCCAGTGGCCCATCCAGTCCAACACTCTTGTCACACAGTGGCCAAAAATACCAGGGGCCATCAAGAGGTCCACCAGTGGGGCCAGGACCCTAGAAGCCCTCCTCATGTTGCCCCCCCCCCCCCCCAAGCACCAAGAATACAGAGCATCACTGGCCCCAGACTGAGAGTTCCTATCCAATGGTCCCTCTAAGCTGTAGAGTCCTGTGAGCAAAAATTCTACTTTGTGAGCTACTGGCATTAAAGTTGTGAGCAGGTAATTTGGCTACTGCATAAATTAGTGTGTTCTGGAGCCCTCCTTCCTGAGCTGAGACCAAAATGTGTGAGCCGGAGGCTGAAAAACTGTGAGCTAGCTCACACTAACTCAGCTTAGAGGGAACACTGTTCCTATCTATACCTTGTGTCTAATAGCCACTGATGGATCTCTGCTCCATATGCTTATCCAATTCCCTTTTGAAGCTGTCTATGATCATAGTTGCCACCACCTCCCGTGGCAGTGAATTCCATGTGCTAATCACTCTTTGGGTGAAGAAGGACTTCCTTTTATCCGTTGTAACCCAACTGCTCAGCAATTTCATGGAGTGCCCACGAGTTTTTGTATTGTGAGAAAGGGAGAAAAGTACTTCTTTCTCTACCTGCTCTATCCTATGCATAATCTTATAAACCTCGATCATGTCATTTGTCTGCTATAAGTAAGTTTCATTCAAGGGGAAAATGCATTTGGGGCCATACAGAACGGTGTGACTGGCTTTCATTTAGGAATGCATAACCAAGAGTCATCTGAAGCATCTCTTTCATCTTTTGATGTTCAGAGCACAGCAACAAATTATTGATGAACCATGGAACATGGTACCTAAAATGTTATTACATACACAGGGGTACAGGTATTAAGTAGAGTGATCAGTTGTTTTAAAGGCTGCAAATGGCTTACGTTTGAGTCTGATACCCCCTTTCCTTGTTCCAGTATGGTGTTGTGCTTAGAGCGTCAGACTAGAATCTGGGAGACCCAAGTTTGAATCCTTATTCTGTCCTGGAGGTTTGCTGGGTGACCTTGGACGGACCAGTCACACACTCTCAGCCCTAACCTACCTCACAGGGTTGTTGTGAGGATAGGGGAAGAGATAGGGTTGCCAAGTCTGATTTTCGCCGCAGCGGGGGACTCCCGGGTGGTGGCTGGAGTGCGCACGCAAAGCGCGCGTGCCGCATCCACATCACTCGGAAGTGACGCAACCACGCCGGGCACGCTGGGGGCGGGGCCATGACCATCCGAAGGAAAACCATAGAGTTTTCCCTCAGATGACTGTGGCCTCACCCCCAACGTGCCCGGCGTGGTCACGTCTCTTCCGGGTGACGTGCACGTCGGGATGGGGTTCCCCCCGGGGCCCAATCCACCACCGGCGGGGAACGGGTCTCTGGGGCGGGGGTTTCCCCGCCCCCCAGGGGGAACTTGGCAAGCCTAGGGAGCTACTTTGGGTCCCCATTGGGGGAGAAAGGCTGGTTATAATAAATGAAGCAAATAAATAAATATATCAATCAACGGGGATCCAATTTTCATTCTGTTGCAATGATACTGTAATTCCCCCCCCCCCCACAAGGAAACTTATCAGGACAAATTCCCCCGGCCGGCCAGGTTTGCAGCTCACATCCACTGCGCTGCACAGTTCTTTCGAGGGCCGGACAGCTGCAGGAACTCCTTTTTGGAAAGTGAAATCTTTCATCTCTGGCCCCATCTGCATCTAGCATTCCCTCAGCTGTCTTACCAAACCCACGCTGGAATTGAAATTCCCCTCTGCATTGCAGGCTGTTTTCACTTTTACTAACTGTCGGATTTTATGGCGGCGTCCAGACGGCATGTTGCTTTCGCTTCCCTTGATCTCTCGGTTTTATGGTAACTGTCTGCATAAAGTTATGGCCGTTTTATGGCCGTTCAGGGGTGACTCTGCAATTGTATGGCGTTGGCCCCTGGGGGCAGTGTTCCCTCTAAGCTGAGTTAGTGTGAGTTAGCTCACAGTTTTCTAGCCTCCGGCTCACACATTTTTGTCTCGGGTCAGGAAGGAGGGCTCCAGAGCAAACTAATTTTATGCAGTAGCCAAACTACCTGCTCACAACTTTAATGCCAGTCGCTCACAGAGTAGAATTTTTGCTCACAGGACTCCACAGCTTAGAGGGAACATTGCTTGGGGGTATCTGAATGTGGTTTTGAGCTGCATCCTTTTCTGTTCCAGCGTGGGTTTGGTAGAACACTGGAGCGAATGCTAGATGCAGATTGGGCCCCAGTTGTTAACGCTGCGTCTGGACTCCCCCTGTACCTTTTCCTTCCATTAAAAGCTGCGGGGCCTGCCTTCCCTCCTAAAACACCCCAGTGTCCACTCTGCTCCCCACCTCCGCTAACTCATTCCTAGTCCCCTTCCCCGAGAGGGCTTATTTCCTGTTGTGTCCACTGACCGCCACCTGAGGTCAGCACACACACCTGAGCTTCAGTCCTGGACAACAATGGGAACTAGGATCCTAGCCCTACACTGGGGAACCAATGGGAACCATGGCGGGAGATTCAAACCCACCAATGGTGACCAGGGGTGTGTCCCCAGGGTTGTATATAGTTGGCCTGCCGGCCGTTTGTCTCTTGTCTTGTTGTGTACTGAATAAAGCGTGCTATGCACCACCACGTAGTCTATCGTTTGTTCGGGCGACCACCCACTACATAACAGTGGCGACGAGGATGGGATGATCGCCCTCCTAAACAACGACCCTAAGCCGCGCAGCCAAGCCGGACCTCAAGAGCGCAGCGCACGCCGCTCGCCGGACAGCCGCACGTCGCCCGCCGGATCGCCTGCCTCGCACGTCAGCTTCTGGCTCGCTGGCCTTC